CATCCCTTCATCCAAGTTGCTGATGAAGATGTTGAACAGCGCAGGACCGAGCCCTGGGGGACCCCACTGTCCACATCCCTCCTGGTCGAAAATGACCCATCCACCACCACTCTCTGGGTGCGGCCTTCCAGCCAGTTGGTGACTCATCTGACTGTGTAGGCATCGACACCACAATCTCCTAATTTTTTAACAAGAATGGGGTGAGAAACAGTGTCGAAGGCCTTCCTAAATTCCAGTAAGACTACATCCACTGCAATACCTGCATCCAAGGATTTTGTGACCCGGTCATAGAACGCCACCAGGTTGGTCTGACAGGACCTGCCTCTAATGAACCTGTGTTGGTTGCCCCTAAACATACTCTTCCCTGAGGGAGCATATGCTTGCTGCAGCCTGCTTTTGCACTGACAATGGTGCAGTGTTCACGGGGGTGGCGGTTTGTGTGTGTGTGGGGAGAGGGGAGGAGGGTGTTGCTGAAAGGCCTCACAAGACCTTATCTGCCACATTGGAGAAGAATGACTTTTGATTCTCTGAAAAATAGGTTTATAATGGAAATGATATCAGGACCATTAAATTATGGCAGCGCTAGGGAAGACAATATAAAGACAGTTCTTATTTTCACATTTTCCTACTGAGTTGACGGCTCCTTTTCTATCTTGAACACCTGATAAAATCACAAATCATATCTGTATGTCTTCATGTCACTGCTGCCTCACTGTCATTCTTCCCTTTATATGAACCTCATACTTTCGTTTACAGATGGTCATTTTAATATCCTGTGACCAGTACTTAATAAAAATTGGTAATGAGAACTAGTAATTCTGTAGCTATGTATAGCTTCTCTGATAGTTAAAGACAGCCACTGAAAAGCATTCATTTTTATTTTATTTTATTACATGATATGGTTTATGTTTGGGACAAATTCTGGAGTCCTTTTTATTCAGTAGTCAATCATGTGGGTAGCCATTTGGAACAAAGCATTTTCACTTTCAGCGTAGCCAGCAAGCTTCTACAGTTGTGATTGAACACTATAGAGAAAAGCTAACTGTCCTGCACTATCCAACTGTCCAGATGACTTGGTCCCTGCATGAGCCCAGTTGCCCATTTGGACATCCTGAATGAGTGTTCAGGCTAGCGTTGCCATTTCACAGTAAAGAGTTAATAACGTTTTGAGCAATGAACTTTTGAGGGTGGTGTTAAGCCCTCCCACTTGTTCTGTGCCTGCTGTGGAAGGAGCCTTCTGAGGACTCACCAGCTGAAGGCTAAAGCAGCACATACAGTCAGTAGTGCCTTGGGAAGCTGTGGACCCAAGCGTTTGAACAGTGGCTCAGTAAGCTTGTTCCGCAGAGGCCAGGCCATCCTCTGTTCTATGGCCATTACTTAAGTTGAGTTCTCCCAAAACTCAGAAATGTTTCTGTTTACTGGGGAAATGGGAAGCATATTGAAAGGTGGTGTAAAGTATTATATATAATTTGTTACAAAATAATTAATGATTTTATTATGTTGCTATTTGGTATGTCTAAAATACGTTAAGTACAAGTGGCGAGCACTGGAATAATGTAGAACCAAAATGGGCAGAGAGAGAGAGAGAGAGAGAGAGAGAGAGAGAGAGAGAGTGTGTGTGTGTGTGTTCTTGTTTGATTCAAGTTTAATCTCACAAACACACAAGAGATCAAACTTTACAAGGTGATGTTTGCCATTAAAACGAACCAGTGCTCTAATTTGTACCATGCATTACAACCCCTTGTTTGAACTCTTAATAGTTTTTAAAGGAAATTTCATCTTCATGCCATCATTTTAAAATGGCAAAAGGGTACTGTAGAAAATACATCTTGCATTGTTGAGGCATTGTAACAGCAACCTCACAATTGGAAAGTAGAGAAGATTAATGTATAGCTAATTCTGTTTCCTAATGTGAACTTTATGAAAAATTCCATACATAAAATAGTAACACATTTTCAGATGAATAGGAAAAATTGACAAGATTTTTATATGAGCATAACTAATACTTTCCTTCCAGTAGAGATAATTTGTCTGATGGGCTACAAGATTCTGTAGGAGTTTGAAATGACTGCTGCCTAGTTCATTCTCTTTCTTCTTTTCCCTCTGACACATGTTCACGTCAGCATAATTGCTTTTTCAGTGTACACTGAAATTTACATTTGTGAAAGGTAAAAATCTGATGGAAGATCAGTTGTTCAAGAAATTTTCAGCATCAGGCCTATATTTGCTGCAAAGGGCAGTGTTTGTCTCTTTCGAGACCATATTTTCCCTATTATAATTTTGGCATGTGGTCTAGAAACTGGAGTTTATTCCATGGCAGCCAGCCTCTGTTACGTTACCAGCTGCATTACTAGTGATGACAATGATAAGACAGCAATGAGTTTGTATTCTGATGGGTGCAATTTCATAAGTTAAGTTCCTGTGAGACCTGCCCTAAATCCTATGAAAATGATTTATTCTAATCATAGTAGTGTTCTCCATGTGACATTGTTTTAGACTGAGAGAGAGAGGGGAGAAGATAGACCGTCTATGTTAGCTGTTGTATTGGATTGCCTTTTGATCATAGCACACCAATGATTTAGTCATACAGCTTAAAAATACCCAATCCTCAACGTTTTAAATTAACACTTTTTATTTGCACTAAATTCAGTATTTTTCTTAACATAGGAGAATGCATGCTTGTTTTTTAATGAATAAGATGTAGGTACTTAAACTTATCTTGAATGCTATGATTTATTTAATTTATGCCAAATATTTTTCAGCTTCCTTGGAAATCGCTGACTAGCATCATTGAATATTATTACATGTGGAAAACCACTGACAGATACGTTCAGCAGGTAACTTTATTGCTCTATCAGTATGAATAACTTTATGGCTCTATCATAGTTTTAAAACAATGAACTTCTACAAAATTCTACTTAAATTATTTTCTAGACGCTTGGATGTGCCTTTAGACTATTTTTTTTTAATGTAGAGAAAGGGTGGCTATGTTCTTTTCTGTGTTTTTAGCTCAATAGTTCTGTACTTTTTACAAGGTACTCTGGTAAGTTCCTTGCTGTCCAGTCTTTCATATTCTCAGTGATACGCAGCAATTGTAGTACCCTGCCATCTAGATTCTCTGCTGCTTGAGTCCCTATGCAGTAGAAATGTGATAGCGCTTTATTTTATTTTTTTTAAGTCTTGTATACTTACATTAGGATGTTGAAAATAGGGGCATTTTGGTCATAGAACTTAAAATATGTATTTTTAATACTATATACTTTGATTCAGCTATTGCAAAATATTATAAAATATTCTGGTTTTATTTATATTAAGTGTTTAAGTCAATAGCATACAGTTAAAATTGGTAATAAAATTGCATGCTGAAGGACAAAAGTAGAATTTGTGGGCCTGTGGTGTTATTAGGTAGGTCAGTACATTTCAAAATCCTGTTCCATCATATCAGAGACATTACTGTTTCTGTTTAGCTTAAATTTGTTTTTTTGGAAGCATTCCTGCATTGTCCATTGTTATTGTGGGAGAGGTATAAGTAGGTGCCGGTCCATGAGGAGTGCTTTTTGGCACTACCATAATACAGACAACAATAATACTATAACTTGCTGTGCTATTTGAGCATGCGTTTTCTGTTCTTCATCAGCTCATCATTTTTTCATCTGTTTCTTTATATCACATCTCTTATCTTGGAAAGGTTTTGCAGTTTGGGAAGTTGAGGCTATAAATATGCCTACAACTAAAAAAGTTTCTTCAGACATACTTCATTGAGTGTATAAACCAGAGACTTGCTTCGTCAAGTCTCAGTTCTCTCTTGACAGCTGGGCAGTAAAAAATCTGGACTGATCAGAAAGATGAAAGTTTAAATAACAGGCTTGTTGCCTGCTGAAATTGGTTATAGTTACTGATAAATTTGGGAGCTAAAAGGAGTGCATTCTAGGGTTTTTACCTTTTTTTTTCTTTTTGACAACTAATTAACAGTAAAACCCCCATTGAGAAACAACTGCTTATTAGTGTTCTTAGATTGTTTATGAGATTGATTGTCTTTCTGGAAAAATTGGTCTGAAATACTGTTCTAAAATGGTTGGGAAAGATGCAGGGGCACCATCTATTCTGAAGTTTGGGGTCTGGCTAACATTGTTCCTGCCAAAGATATCTAAGGGTACGCTATCATTAACTATGTGTGTGCGCCTATAAAATCTAACTGCATTTAAAGTACATCTGTAACTCTGAAAAGTGATTCCATAAAAAATGGCACTGCAGGGCTCTGATTTTATAATCCTTGCAATCACATCCTAGAATTTGATGATGAGCAGTGCTCTTTCAGGATCATCATGATCAATAAGAAAAAAAGTCTGTAGGCCAAATGCTTCTCTTTTACACTCATTTGTCTATCCTATGCCTGCTTTCTATCTTCTTAGCATTCAGGACTTGTGGTAGAGGTGATATCTTTTATTAGACCAGTGGTCTCCAACCTTTCTATGGTGAAATTCACTTTTTGTAAGTGATCTTTTCCAAACAGGTGATTTTACCACCTTCATATCTCCTATGAAATACAAACTTTCATGTCTATCCAAGAGAACTTTTACAATCTTTTCTCTAATGCCTGATGAAGGTGTTTGCACCTGAAAATTTGCAATTAAAGAATTTGTTTTTGCAAAAATCTAGTTGTTCTAATAAAAGATACCGTTTCCACCATGAGTCCTGAATGCTTTTTCCTCTACAAAAATATAGCTACAACCTGGATACTAGGGCTGTGTGAAGCTTCGGTAGCCGATTTGATTTGGAGGAGATTCAGCCTGATTTAGTAACCAAATCTCCAAATTCAAATCTAATTGGAAGACTAGTTAAAAGCTTTGAATCGATACAGAAAAGATTTGGTGATTCAGCCATAGACTAAACAGGCAGTAGACACAGCTGCCTCCAGGTAGTAAGTCTGTTGGGGAGGGAAAGGATGTGGGGGAGGGAGAGATTGGGGCTGGGACAAGATGCCTAGCTGGGGTGGGGCACGATACTCGGGGAGGGAAGTGGCGGGGGGTGCAGGGTGCAGGTGTGGCAGTGCTGGGAGTGGGGGCTCTGCCCTGCTGCCACCTGCCCAGCCGGGGGAGGGGAGGCGAAGGGATGCAGGCACAGCTCACTCCAGGTGGAAGGGGGCAGGTGGCAAAAGGGCATAACGCCTGCTCCCAGTGCTGTCACTGCTGCACTCACATCCCGCATCTCTCTGCACCAGGTGGCAAGCAGTGGCAAGGCAGAGTCCCCGCTCACAGTGCTGATACAGGCACGGAAGCGCATGGAGTGAGGGCTCTGCCCTGCTGCCGATTACCCAGCCAGTTTGGGGTGTGGGGGCACACGATGCAGGCGCAGCTTGTTCTGGGCAGAAGGGGCAAGCAGCAGCAGGGCATAGACCCCACTCACAGCGCTGCCTGCATCAGCCCTGGGAGCAGGGGCTCTGCCCTGCTGCCGCTTGTCAGCCAGCACAGGGGGGCACAGGATGCAGGTGCTGCAGCACTGGGAGCGGGGGCTGTGCCCTGCTGCTGCTTGCCCTTTCTGCCCAGAGAGAGCCGTGTCTGCATCCTGCCCCCCACCCCCCACGCCAGCTGGGCAAGTGGCAGCAGGGCAGAGCTCCCACTCCAAGTACTGCAGCACCCATATCCCACACTCCTCCACCCCCCTACCTGAGTAACGAACCCCCCTGCCCCAGCTGAGCAGTGCCCCCACTCAGTCCCTCCCTCCCCCACACCCCTTCCCTTCCCCCTCCTCCAACCCCAACAGACTTACCAGTTGGAGGCAGCTGTGTCAGTTGCTTGTTTAGTCTATGGCCGAATTTCTGAAGCAGTACCGAATCTTTTGGATCCAGTCGAATCAGCTAAATCGAATCGGGACAGTGATTTGAATCTCCAAACTGAATCGCTGTCCTCCAAATTGGCCGAATCCGAATCCGAAGTGAATACTTGCCGCTTTGCACAGGCCTACTGGATACCTTCTCTCTTCTTATACATCTCTGCAGCCACCCTGGGGACAATGAGATGAGAGATGTAACTGAGATCAGAATTTAATCCTGTCATCATGGAGCTGATTCTGCAGTGCATGCAGGGATAAAATTTGATAAAAATACTGTTTTCATCAGAATTAAACAGAGACGACTCATTTTTTTTCTGTGAGAAGGTGAAAATCACAGTTGGGGGTGGGTAGACTCAAGGGAATGGGAAGTGAAAAGTTACGCCTTCAGTTTTAGATTGCTGGTTCTAATCTAAAAGCTTTACCACCTAATTACTGTCTCTTTGCTGGTGTGACTTAGCTGAATCATTTCAAAGGAAAGGTCTCCACATGGCAGTTGCAGCTAATTGCTTACTAATTACTCTTGCTGTCAACTGAAGACAGTGATGTAATGAGCATGGAGACTCACATGCCACCTCAGCTTTAGAGCCTGGGCCCTGTAAGTCCAGGCAAAAATGAAATTGTTTCAGTATAGTTAGCAAATCTTGGTATATCAATTCAGTAGATAAATCCTGAATTTCAGTTATCACCATTGTCAGCCTGGCACTTTTCATGAGCGCTGCATGAAAAGAACATTTGGGGAATGAAGGAGGCCAGGTGACTCGCTTGCTGTAGGTCCAGTTGGTTTATTATTGCTGGCTTTCCAAAGGTGGGTTTTTTTTTTCAGTTACCTTTTTCTCCCAGTAAGGTACTCCATGTTTCGTGTCCCTGGGCTCTTTGCTTGCATGTGGGGAAGTATTTTTGGCTGAGATACCCAAGGAAGCGTTTAGTTTTCCAAGTTGCTGGATGAGCATTTGATCCCACATTACTTGTTAAGTTTCCAGAAGGAATCCCTAAGACATTTGAAAAGGATTTTTTATTTTTTTTTGCTGCCAACAGCATCTGACAGAAAGTTTGTGATGGTCAACCCTGACAAACATATAATCTTAACTATGCTTTTTAACTATGATGATTTTAAATCTCACCAATTTTTGCACAAGGAGTTTGTATAGAATTGGCACTTGTGACATTTATTAGAGACATTTATTAGAGCTTTTTTATTTTTCCTTCTTGCACTATACTATAGTTATTACATTGCTGCCTTGAAAAATAAAGGCTTTTCATAGTGTCTTTTTCATATAGCTCTGAAACATCTTCTCTGACCTTCCTACTACTCAGGGGATTTTATAATATATGTTTTGCAGTAGCACTGTAAGACTTCTGCTGCAACATCTGCCCAGAGATATGATGCCAGTATGAGTAGGAGTAACCACCTTAGATTTAATCTAGTTAGTTTAGGTAACAATAGCTGAACAGATGGAGCAGCATGGATTTCAGTATGGGCTAGTGGCTTAAGTATGTCCCCATGTCTTTGTTGGGCTGCAGTCACACATCCAAGTGAATGTAGACAAATAAGGTAGGCCTGTGCTATAGCAGCATGTTGTCCAGGCTGAAATGATCTGAAGCACATCCTGCACACCAAGAAAAACACCAGGGAAGTTAACTTAGGTGTGTCTCTGCAGCTGTTCTTGGGACCTCAGTCTGCAGCATGCTTGAGAATGGTCCTTGGGGCATCCATAGAGCAGACTTACTCATAAATTTCTATGTTTGAGGCATGGGAATGGTCAGGATATTCTCAGTAATGTAGTGACTTTGAACACACTCACGCTTTCTCAGTGCACAGTGCCAGGATGACGTGTCTCATTGAAGGATCTGACACTATTCCCGCAGTCTTAATTTTAAGTGAGGCTGGTTTTAAATTGATAGGTCTTTGGGCCTAAGCAGGTTCTTCTCCAGGGTATGATGTAGAAGCGGAAAATGTTGGAACAAGTCCCTCATATATAGGGGTCTACTTAACTCGCAGTGAGAC